AAACCACAACACCACCACCACCACCACCAGCACCACCTCCACAAACCACCGCCACCACCACAACCCACCACCACCACCAAACCACCACCACACCACCACCAAACCACCACCACCACAACCCACCAGCAGCACCACCACCACCACAAACCACCACCACACCACCGCCACAACCACCACCACCACCACCCACCACCACAACCACCACCACCACAACAAACCACCACACCACCACCACCACAACCACCACCACAACTACCACCACCACCACCAGAACCCACCACCACCACCACCATCGTCCTCGTCGACGCTCCCCGCCGCTGCCGCCCGCCGCCGCAGGCGCTGGCGCCGGCCCAGAAAAGGAAATCGTCGTCCCCGCCGCCGCCGCCAGCCGCCGCCAACGCAGGGGCTGGCCCGGAGGGGGTGGGGGGGCGGGGTCGAAACCCCCCCCCTCTTCCATCCAGGGGGGGGGGTCCGGTTCCAACCCCCCCCACCCTCCAAGCGACCACAGAACGCGCTCTTTCGTATGTATATGTCATGCCCGTACATACATACACACAATGCGAGTACGCGAAACCTTCTTTTTACTACGCTAGTTGCATTCCTGCCTGCACCATTCGAATCAAAGATGGCCAAGAGGAGGTGGAAAGAGGAGAAACGGCCAGACGGGAGACGAGCAGGAGAAAACCGCCATTGGTGCTGCAAGGTGGAAGGACTAGATGGCGTCAACGAATCGCATTGTGCTCCAGCCCCTCCTCTTGAACTGAATGTCGACGTGGTCCTTCTCCTCGACGTGGCCGAACGCCGCCGATGCCGCAACGATCGTGATGGCGACGGCGGCGATATCAAGCACAGCGCTGACCTGACCGAGGCGAACAGGTCTCGTTCTCAGCATCCTCCCCGTCCTCTTACTCCTCCTCATCATCACCCTCAGCATCGCCACCGTCACGAGCATCATCGCCATCGTCCTCATCATCATCCTCTCCATCATGGTCATCAGCATCATCGTCATCATCATCATCAACAACAACAACAGCAGCAACAACAACAACAACAACAACAACAACAACAACAATCATTTTACCCGAACGCTCAGTGTTCTCACCAGTGCCAGGGTTTTCATGCGACGCGAGACAATACCCCCACTTCGTGGGGGGGCAGTTCAAGCTCTACCAAATATCCAAACGACTCTTCGCGACCACCCAAACCCAGCTTCCCGCCCTATGACGTTGGGACACTTCACTTCGTGGCGTGCGGACGACCGTGGCCACTACACTGGCGTGGGGTACACACCCACAGAACTTGGTCACTTATTCGGGGCGCGCGTGTGCCCAGCATCCTGCAATTGTGACATACAATACATGACACAGACAGACAGAGAGAGAGACAGAGAGCAGACAGAGAGAGAGACAGAGAGAGCGGAGTTGGTCACATTTTTGGGGCAAGTTCCTGAGATCGTCGTGTTTTTTGTTGGTCTTTCGCGCGCGAATGTCCACTTTACTTTTTTTTTTTTGCAAGGGAATATTGATTATGTTAGAACAAGAAAAAGTAGCTCGCGCGAGCTTATGTAACATAAATGTTGAAAAACCATTGGTTTTGTGGGAGTCGGACAGCGCGCGCGGGATGAAATTTGGACATTTTTTTTTGAAAAACCATTGGCTTTTTTGATGTTTTTATGTTGAAATCGCTACGAAACCTAGGGTTCTGGAAGGATTTCGTCTTGCGCGCGCGAATGTCCACTTTACCTTATTTTTTGCAAGGGATTATTGAAATTTGATTATGTTAGAACAAGAAAAAGTAGCTCGCGCGAGCTCATGTAACATAAATGTTGAAAAAACCATTGGTTTTGTGGGATTCGGACAGCGCGCGCGGAAGGACATTTTGACAATTTTTTCTTTAAAAAACCATTGGTTTTTGATGTTTTTATGTTAAAATCGTTACGAAACGTAAGGTTTTGGAAGGATTTCGTCTTGCGCGCACGAATGTCCACTTTACCTTATTTTTTGCAAGGGATTCTTGCAATTTGATCAAGTAAGAACAAGAATTTTCATTTTCTATTGTTTTTTGCAAGGGAAAACGAGCGTCAACAAAAAACCGGATCCGGAGCTCATCCACTTTTCTGAAGCTTTCGCGAACAAATGATGAAAATGTAGCTGCGGCCTAGGCGCGGCGCAGAGGTCGCGCACCAGGGGTCCCAACAATAATAATTCTTTAGAAGGAATAATGTTCAACAACAACAACAACACAACAACACCACACAACGACAACAACAACCAACAAACCACAACCGCAACCAACAACAACAACCCAACAACACAGCCCACACACAACACAAGCACAACACCAACAACACAACAACAAACACAATAACAACAACAACACAACAACAACACATAATCATCATCAACACAAAAAAAAAAACAGATATACAGAAAACCACAACTAGAGCCACAGAAATCGAACATCAACACAGAACACATAAACAAAAAAAAAAGAGACAATAAAAAACCAAGATCAAAAAAAGCATACATCAGCATTACCGTTACATCACCATCGTCGTCGACGACGTCATTACCATCCTCAACATTGTTCTCGTCGCCGTCACCATCTGGGTTACAGCATCACCACAGTCAGCATCACCACCGTCATCGTCTCACGATCATCATCGCTCACAGGCCTACGAGGAAGGTCAAAACACAAGGAACGGACCCCGAGAACTTTCGAGCTCCTCCCAAAGGCAGAGCGGCCCTTCTTTCGCTGTGTACCCTCTATGCGCAAGCTTTTCGTCCGATCGCCAGCAGCCGGCACACGGAAGAGAGGTTCCCGATCCGACCTGACAGGAACGGAGGAGGAGAGAACGAGGAGGGAGGGGGGGGGGAGGAGGGAGTAAGGGGGAGGTGGAGAAGGGAGGCGGGAGGAGGGAGGCGGGAGGCGGGAGGCGGGAGGCGGGAGGCGCGAGGAAAAGGAGGAGGAGGAGGAGGAGGAGGAGGGAGGGTGGGGGGACGAGGACGAGGACGTAGGCGAAGGCGGGCGGAACCGCTGTGCTCGCAGCTCGCCCGCCCGTGGGTGGATCCTCTGGTCGTGCCGGCCGCGGTAGCTTGCGAACAGTGGAGCGCGCTCGGTGACCCTGGGGCAGACAGGGGCAGCGCTCGCTGCTGAGGCTGCCAGGGAGATGCCAGGGGAGCTCCACCAGAGTTGTGGACAGTGCGTGCAGAGGGCCGTCCCCCTCCTGGCGGCGCGCACAGGGGGGGGTAGGGGGAGGGGAGAAGGCTTCTTAGAAGCAGGGGTGCTTCCAGGAAGTCTTCCCCCCTCCCCCTGCCCCCCTCTGCGCGTGGCTGACCCTCGTCCCCCCTTCTGACGAACCATAAAAACTCCCGTAACCCTTCGGGAGGAAACCTAAGTTAGGAGGGCCGAGGACATCAGAGAGTTTTTCCTGCAGATGAGCCAGACCAAACCACCAATGATTCAATATGTATTATCCCCAATGCGAAGGCGGGGACCTGAGTGAGGCCACGTCTATCGTTTTATTAGGGTTAGGGTTTCTTGTATTCTCGATGATTTCTCCCTCGATGTTCGACAGAACGTGTGCTAGCGCCGACGTGTGCTTGTCCCCTGAGGTCCCTCCAAACGACGCAGGCGGCGCCATGGGGGCCGACGGGGTCTGCGCGCGGTCGGCGGAGTCAAACGGGGCAGCACGCACGCGCTTGGGTCAACACGCGTCCTGAAGATCATCGATTCCTCCTCCTACTCCCCCCTCCGCCTCCTCCTCCTCCTCCTCCTCCTCCTCCTCCTCCCTCCTCCTCCTCCGCCTCCTCCTCCTCCTCCTCCTCCTCCTCCTCCGCCTCCTCCTCCTCCTCCGCCTCCTCCTTCTCCTCCTCCCTCTCCTCCTCCTCCTCCTCCTCCTCCCATCCACTCTTTCTGCTGCTCCTCCTCCTCCTCCCCAAACGGACCAGCATGCCGAAGATATCAAGCTCGCGGTTTTCCATGATCTTGTTCATGTAGGCTGTCGGAGAGGAGGGCGACGGCGGGGGGGGGGACTGATACGAAGATGACACGAGGAAGGGAGGCAAGAGGCAGGGGGCGGGAGGAAGGAGACCAGGAGGCAGGAAGCAAAACACAGGATCGAGGAGAGAGGGGACAAAGGAGAGCAGAGAGGACAGGAGGAGGCAGGGAGGGAGGGGGGGAAGGAGTCGGGAGCGACGATGCGAGACAGGCGAGAGAACGGAGCAGAGAGCAGAGGGAAGACAGGGGAGGGGGGCAGAGGGCGGACAGCAAAGAGCAGAAGACAGAAGAGAGAGCGGAGAGAAGCCCTTCAGGAAGAGTCTTAGGTCGGGCATGTCTCCCTACCACCGGATTTTCGACAAAAAATTCACAGAATGTTCAAAAGATGCCACACATATTCAAAGAATAGTGGACACATCGTCCACATGCGATCTTTCTTTTTACTATTTTTGAACATTCCTCCTGCAGAGGGACATGCCCGACTCGGGGGAAGACGGAGGAGAGGACAGAAAAGACAGCACGGCATGATCGGCCCGCGGGGTCCTGCAGCGCCGCCCGCGCTCCACCCTGACACAAACCCCAGGGTCCGAGCCCCGTTCCGAGTGTTCGACCGCCCTACACCCTGCGAAATGTTTAAGAAATCATGGGTTAAGAAATTCATAGTCTCAGAATTTCAATAAAAACCCAGAACTTCTATTCAAATCTTAGGAGTTACATTGAAACATTAAGAATAATCGAGACTCTGGCCGAAAACTCAAGTTTTCTTAAGCATCGCCTAAGGTGTACCCACAGCAGCAGCAGCAGCAGCAGCAGCAGCAGCAGCAGCACCGGTGCCGAAGGCCTCAGACCCCTCAGGAGCCCACAGAAGACGTACGCGCCCGACCACGTGCACGAACACGGCCCTGCCATCCCCGAGACCGGCCGCGTGATACGAGCGTTCGCGCGGCGCGCGCTCCCGAAGCCAGCGTGGATTCGTGTACGTGTACGTCCTTCTGTCGCTCCTGAAACCCAACAAACCCCTTGCAAATCTTCTTTGAGCGAATCCTGGACATCACACGCATAAACGATCCAGGAAAGCGTGGTCCATACTGCGCACCCATCGATGTAGGACATGGTGCCGTTCAGTTGGCAGCGAGAACTGGCTGATTTGAACATGGTATGGGAGGTCGCGCACCAGCGCGACTTTCGAAACGCGCTGGGATGTCCCCTTCAGTATGCGCCATCGCGGCCACATCAACTGTGCCAAACCAGCTGGTCGCCCTGCGCGCGAGCGTTCGCGCGCCAACGCGGCCACAGAGATGCGCTGGCAATTGCCAATCAGCACCCACAGTCGTTGTCGCATTGCTTCTGAGAATCCAGTTGTGGGCGGGAGGATGGGATGTTTGCGCAAGCAGTGTTATTGGCAAACACCGAATTGACAGAAATCATGTGAACCAGAGATGTAGCTTACACCTGAGAAGCGCATGGCCCGCTGTGACCAAAGTTTACTACGATCAATGAAAGAGACTCGAGGCTTCCCTCGCTTATGACCTTGCTGATTCTGTAGAGGCTGACATCGTTCATGTGTGACTGTGTTTTGTGACCCTCGATTGTTCTGTTGTAATTCCCCCCGGCAACCTCGTTAAATGGTTGGCCATACCTGCAACCACCTCGATGGTTGTTTGGCCATACCTGCAAGCACTTCGATGTATTTCGGGGGCAGCGCGCGGGACCTCGATGGTGTTTGGGGGGTGCATACAACAGCCTCGATGGCTGTTTCGGGGAAGTGCGCGGGATCTCGATGTTGTTTGGGGGTGGCACGCAGCGGCCTCGATGCATTTCGGGAAAATTTCGCAGGGCCTCGATGGTTGTACGCGCGCGCGTGTCTCTTTTTTATCGAACGCTGAGCATCAACGGCCACCGACAATCTGACTCCGAAATGCGGCCACCTTGAAAATTGGGCCGAATCTCATTCCCTCGGCCAGGTTTTTTGACATCATCTCTGATCTCATTGCAGAAGCTCTTCAGGTACCTCCGGAATGAATCGGGGCAAGATGGGAAGGGAGGGGAGGAGGAGAAGGAGGAGGCCAGGGAGGAAGAGGAGGAGGAGGAGGAGGAGGAAGAAGAGCAGGAGCAGGAGCAGGAGCAGGAGGAGGAGGAGGAGGAGCAAGAGGAGGAGGAGGAGGAGGAGAGGAGGAGAGGAGGAGGAGCGAGGAGGAGGAGGAGGAGCGAGGAGGAGGAGCGAGGAGCGAGGGGGAGGAGCGAGAAGCGAAGAAGAGGAGGAGGAGGAGCGAGGAGGAGGAGCGAGGAGCGAGGAGGAGGAGCGAGAAGCGAGGAGGAGTAGGACCAGGAGCGAGGAGGACGAAGAGCAGGAGGAGGAGGAGGAGGAAGAGGAGGAGGGGGACGGCGAGGCGGCCAAGAGGGGGAAATGGAGGGAGCACGACATCGGGTTCCCCGCCAGGGCCATGCGGAAGAGGAGGATTCCTGCGGAATTCCGGCGGTTTCGCGAGTGGTTCCTCTGGAATTCGCGGGCGTATGTCGAGGGGATTCGTGGAAACTGCTCCTGGGACGAGAGGCGGTGAGGATTCCCCAGGGCATCCATGCTGGCTTTTGACTTACAGATGCTGGTGGATTCTTGATGGGTTCCTACAGGGCTCCGTACGCATCCCTTTCTTCAAAGATGTTTGATAAAGTCCGACGGGCTCGGAAAACCTGAAAAATTCCACAAGGGCCCCAGGGGGGGCCCTGAATCCTCCGGCCGTGGGAATCCGCGAGGAATCTTCCAGGAGCCCTTATGGATTTTCAAAAGCCTTCGGGCGCCCTTCGGGCGCCCTTCAGGCGCCCTTCAGGAATTGTTTGGGATCCTGTGACATCTCGTGGGCCCTCGAAGTTGCTACTCCGGATTTCAAGGGGGTCTCCTAGATCCATCGGGAGGATCTCAGGCGCGCCGCGCGGTTTCGGGGGGGAGGGGGGGGGGCTTAAAGCGCGCCGCGCGCGAAAATGGGGGGGGGGACTTAGGGTTAGGTCAGGCATGTCCTCCTACAGGCGGATTTTGGACAAAACCTAAAAAATAGCCAAAGAATGCTCAAAAAGAATGAGGAATGGTAGAAACACCGCCCACGTAATATTTTTGTTGCTATTTGTTGAATATTCCTCCTGTAGAGGGACAGGCCCCATTTAGACTCAGGGCGCGCCGCGCTTCGGGGGGGGAGAGGGGGCGCTGAAAGCGCGCCGCGCACGGGAGGCGGTCAACCACGCGCAGAGAAGGGTGGGGGAGGGGGGGGGGGGGCTTCTTAGAAGCACCCCTGCTTCTTAGAAGTCGCGGGCCTTGTCTGTAGATGTAAGGCCGGCGCCCTCTGAGAAGCAGCCTCCTTCTATGAAGCCCTCCCCCTCCCTCCACCCCCTCGTGCGCACCGCCGAGACAGCGCGGGAGGGGGGACGCACTCGGGGCGCGCCGCGCAGGGAGGGGGGGGCACTCCGGGCGCGCCGCGCAGACCCCGTCTGCCACTCGATGCCAACTTTTGACTCCGGTGTTGACATCAATGTTGGCATCAGTTTGGCCCTTGGCCTTCCCCTCGACGTTCAACCTGAACCTCAACGTCGACCTCGGTGTTCACCTCGGCCTTCCAGTCGGGCCTCACTTTTAGCCTCGGTGTTCACCTCGGAATCATAGTCGGGCCTCAATCCTGAGCTCGGTATTCACCTCGGCGACTCCGTCGGGCTTCAACTTGTATCTCCAGTGTAACCTCAACTTAGACCTCGCTATTTACCTCGGTGTCCTCGATTGTGTGAAAAAATGGCGTCAAACGCTCGTGCTTGTCTGAATGTTGACCTCGGCAGTCACCTCGGCGTCTTTGTCGGGCCTCAATTGTCACCTCGGTATTCACCTCGGCGTTGTTGTCGTGTATTAATTTTGACCTCAGCACAGATTTACCTCGGCGCAAATGCTGACTTCGGCGTTCGCCGATCGGCCCCAGCCCGAATCCACCCCAGCCCTGACTCTGACCCGAGTCCTGACCCCGGCCCGAGCCTGACCACCCTTCGCCCTACGCCCTAAGCTCTAGGCCATAGGCCCTGAGCGCGACACTAGCCACTCGCCGCTGGCAAGTGGCGGCCAGGCCCTCAGTCCTAGGCCCCAGGCGGAGGCCCTGGCCCTAGACCCCAGCCCTGGCCCTGAGTCCAGGGCATAGGCTAAGCCCTTGGACGTCGGCTTCTCCTCCCTCTCCTCCCAAGGCGAGGACCATCATGGGCCCATGCCCGTCCGGTGTTGATCATCCTAGGCTCCACCCCGCGGCAGTTACCATCATTGGGGCTGCTGGGGTCCTACTCCTATCGGCACACCAATCCACAATGCCGCCAATAGGCACTGGAGGGGGCCGAGGCCCTCCCTACGGTCCCTCGGCCGACGAAGACAGCCGTAGGGCGGGGCACCAACGTACCTCCACAACTCAAACCTTCGTGGCTCTCAGGCGTCCGTTGCCACCATTCACTGCTTTTCTCCTCCTCCTCCTCCTCCTCCTCCTCCGCCTCCTCCTCCTCCCCCTCCACATACTCCTCCTCCTCCTGCTCCTCCTCTCCTTCCTCCTCCTCCATCTCTGCCCTCCTCTCCTCCTGCTGCTACACCTCTTCTCCAGACTCCTCTCCTCCTCCTCCTTTCCCTCCATCTCCTCCCCCTCCTCCCCCTCCCTGGCCTCCTCCCCCACCTCCCCTCCCTCCCCCTCCCACTCCCCCTCCTCCCCCTCATCACCATCGTCGTCACTAACAACATTATCAGGAATCACCAAAAATCCGTATCATCATCATCATCATCATCATCATCATCATCATCATCATCATCATCATCATCATCATCATCATCATCATCATCATCATCATCATCATCATTATCATCTTCATCATCATCATCATCATCATCATCA